ATTCGGGGTGATGTAAACTTTGACGCCATCAAATGATCGAGATCGAGACATTGCAACGTACAGTTTTCCATAAGAGAAGACCGGATTCGGAAGATAGATCAAAACTTTCTTAATAATTTGTCCTTGAGCACGGTTGATGGTTATTGCAAAGGCCAACTGAACAGGAAACTGGAGCCGCGTCATTGAAAAACTGAATGTTCCTTCAGCCGGGGAAAGTTTGATGTGAGTTAACAGAATCACTTGTCCAGATGACTGTCCTGTAAGAACTTCACATTCCAAACAATTGGGGTGAAGTGATTTGATTTTGAGTCTAGTGACATTTATGGAAACGATGGATCGTTAGACTCCACCCCTCTTAAATATCAGCCAAAATTACATCAAAAGTCGATGTCGAGTTGGTCCGCTAGTATGTATGTAGTAATAAGACTACGGGGCCCCTCATATCAAAACTTTTCTTATCCACGTTATGAAATTTCTTGTAAAATCGAAAAAACTTTTACCGAATTAATTTTTTTACGAGCGAAAAGGTACACCAAGTGTTAATATACAATAAAGTATAAGAAAACTTAAACATTAATTTATTTAAACGTACAATATCATTATTTTGGTAAAAAAATAAACAAAAATGTATAAGGCAAGTTTTGATCCGTCAATTTGGATGTGGCAAGTTATGCTAAAAAAAGAAATAAGAATCCCACTGGGTTTATGGAGGAAGTTTTTTTATTGTTGTTTAAAGACATTATTTGAAGCAAAATATAATATACTGTAAACTAAATTCTTAAGTATTTATCGTCTCCTGTACTATCAATGGTTGCACTATTCCCTCTTTAACGTCGTTAAAGAACTTTAAATTTTCCTTTGTTTTCCATTCCCTTCCAAAATGCTTCTCCAATAAATTGTTTACATCCGTTAACTTGACAGGTTTTACTAGTACACCTATTGGAATAACTTCTGGAGAAAGATGCTACAACTTTTTGCCTTTTTTTTAAAATTGATTTAGGTATTCCAGTGTCCGAGCAATAGAAAGGTTCTTCCTGAACCATAACATTTCCACTACGATTTTTTGTTAGTATAAATCTCTTGGCATCGGAAAAGTTAAAATGCCAGGAGCCCACGGGTTTTAGAAATCACCAACAGCAGATTTCCAGTCCATAACCAGATAATCTTGCCCTTAATTTCTTACAGTGCTGTGTTTCTTAAATAGGTCGAAATATATTTTAGGATCGATGATGGTCATTAAACCGGAATACAATAAATCGACTTAACGCGTTTGAAATGTGGACATTTAGAAGATTGTTAAGGATTCCATGGGTAGATAGGGTCACGAATACAGATGTGTTAAGGAGAATAGGCAGAGAGAGGGAAATGGAAAATACAATGTAAGAAAGGAAATTGCAATATCTCGGACATGTAATGAAAGGCGAAAGATTCAACATCTTGAGACTAATAATTCAAGGAAAAATAGAGGGTAGAAGCGTAGACAGAAGACGCGTTTCCTTGTTGAAGAACCTGGGAGACTGGTTTGGTTGCAGCTCAAGGCAATTATACAGAGTAGCTGCCTCGAATGTCCAGGAACAGGAAAAATGATTTCTATAGTTTTAATGTTAGGTGGTGCAACCTTAGAAAAAAAGTAAGACAACATACTTATCATTGTTGAATTGCGATTTTGTCCACCGCATCCGTCAGCACGCAGTCGTATGTGCGAATAAGACGACAAATCAGCTTGTTATAGTGCATGTTAAACTGATAAAGATATTTCATTCGAACCTTTCTTATCTTGATGTTTTATCCAAGTATGAATATGAACGTTTTCTTTAGACATTTTTGCTCTGGAGGATCCTTGAACCACAGTAAAGTTGTAGGTGTATAACTGTCTGCTGTAATAGGCAATTTGGTCAGGGACCTTGGGATTGACAAAGTTCTTTTGACAGTCAAATTAATAGGTTATTAAATTAGGATCTAACTTTTTAAGTTTGTCAAAAAAAGCATTGGCTTTTAGCTTATGTACCCTTTTCTCTATCAAAAGTACATTTTTTTTATCGACGTCTTTTTCTAATTTAATTTTTTCTTTTCTTTTTTCTAAGGCTTAATAGTGTACCTGGTGTTCTAGGTATGTCTGCTTTGTATATCGTGTACAGTAGAGGTGACAGTACCGCTCTCTGTAGCACTCTAGCCTCCGGGTTCCGAGTTCTCTGAAGAGTCCAAAGACTATGAAACTACGATTGCTCATGTACGAAGAGATTAGTCTTGTCATTGCTCCGCTGCACCCGTATCTTCTGATTTTGTACATTAGATCAATCTTTTCAAAGAATAAAGAATTTAAAAAATATGAGAAATTCTTTTGTAATTTGCTCTGTATACGAGTATTCTTCAATGATTTCTGTTAAACCTAATATGAAAACTACTAGAACATATTGATTACCTTATTATGTAAAACAAATAATTATTTATGAATTCATTCTTTATGTAGAGGGTGTTCATTTCACAGGGATATAGAAATAAAAATGGTCATTACCCGTTAAATACCCTGTATCTTCTTCCTTCTTCTTCCTCAGCCTTCATTTATCCAATGTTGGACATAGGCCTCCTCCAATTGCTTCCACGCTTCCCTATCTTTTGCAATTCTCATCCACTGCTTTCCAGCTACAGCAGTTATATCGTCTATCCATCTCTTTTTAGGTCTTCCCACGCTTCTTTTTGTTTCTCGAGGTCTCCAGAATGTCACTTTATGAGACCATCTGTTGGTGTCTTGTCTTGCTACATGTGCTACCCATTGCAATCTCAATGTCGGTAGTTTTCCCATGATGTCGGTTACTTTAGGTCTTCGACGTATTTCGGTGTTAGGAATTTTGTCTCTGAGGCTTATATTTAACATGGCCCGTTGAGTTACTCTTAATTCTTCTGCCATTTTTCTTGTTATTGCCATAGTTTCCAATTCATAAGTTGCAACCGGTAGTATACAAGTGTCATAGGTTTTTCGTTTTAAGTGAATTGGGATTTTTCTGTCTTTTAAAATGAAGCCAACTTACCAAAAGCAGCCCATGATAATTGTGTCCTTCTTTTAATTTCTAGGGTTTAATTTTCCTTTTCGTTTTTAATTGCATGTCCTAGATATATATATATATATATATAATATATTATATATATATATTATAATATATATATATTGTTCTACCTTTTCTATATTGATGTTATCTATCGTGATGTTTTCTAGGCTGTTGCTTAATATCTTTGTTTTGTCGAGATTCATTTTTAATCCTATTTGATTCGATTTGTGATTTAAATCTTGTAGCATTGATTTTAGTTCATGGATATCTGTGCTTATTAGTACTATGTCGTCTGCAAAACGCAAATGGTTAAGGTATACTCCATCTATTTTTAATCCATTTTCGGCCCAATTTAGTTGTTTGAAAACAGTTTCTAATGCCAAAGTAAATAACTTGGGTGAGATGGTGTCGCCCTGTCTCACACCTTTGCCAAGGTCTATTTTCATAGTTTTATTTTTACATGAAAAGTAGCATCATCGTATATATTCTTAAGGAGGGCAGCATATCTTGAATCTACTCTAGCGTCGTCCAATGCTGTTAAGAAAGCCCATTTCTCGATACTGTCGAATGCTTTGTGATAATCGACAAATGCCAGATGTAGTGGTATGTTGTACTCTATTGTTTTTTTAATAATGGTCCGAATTGTTTGCAAGTGATCGATAGTGCTAAAACCCTTACGAAAGCCTGCTTGCTCCACTGGTTGGTATGCATCTAGTTTAGCTGTCAATCTTTTTGTTATTATTCGGGTTAGTAGTTTGTAAAGGTGTGACAATAAGCTTATTGGTCGGTAGTTTTCTATATTTGCGGGGTCCCCTTTTTTATGGAGTAGAATGACTTCCGCATTTTTCCATGTTTTCGGTATTTGTCCTTCCAATAGGCATTTATTAAGTAATGCTCTTATTGCCTCTTCTAATGCAGTGCCTCCCATTTTTAGCATCTCTGAAGTAATTTTATCTACTGGTGTTTTCCCATTTTTCATTTGTTTTAGGGCGGCTCTAATTTCTGATGTTATTATTTCAGGGAAGTCCTCTGAACCCACATTTAAGATATGTTTTGTAGGTATACCGGGGTTCGGAATAGTAGAAGTATACAGCTTCTCATAAAATTTTCGGATTTCTCTAACGATCTCTTCCTTATGCGAGCACAATGTTCCACGGTCGTCTTTTATCTTTATGATTTTATTCTTGCCAGTGGATTTACATGTTTTTAGTACTTTTATGTTCTTATTGTTTTCTATGGTTTCAAGAATCTGGTTTGTTCTATAAACTCTGAGGTCTTTTCGAATATTTTTCTTAACGCTTCTGTTGAGCGCTTTATAGTCCGGGTTATCTCTGTTCGTTCTTCTTCTTTTCTCTATCTGTTCTAGAGTTTCGGGTTTTAGTTTAGCTTCCTTTTGTTTTCTTATTCTGCAACAAAGTTTCTTAGTGACTGTTTGTATGTCTTTAGTTATTTTCTCAGCTAGTTCATCTATATTCTTGTGCTCAAAGGTATTTGCTACTAGCTTCCGTGCTAATTCCTCTTGGTATTTCTCTTTATTACTGGCTAGGATGTCTGCCGTCGGTAAAGGGTTTGTTGTTAATAGGTTTCGTCTTTCTCTCTTTACGTTAATACGTATATCAGCACGAACTAGTCTATGGTCACTGCCGGTGTTAAATTTGTTCAATACCCTGTATAGTAGTGTGAAACTTCATATTGTGAGCACATGGATTATAAGAGTAATCTAAATATGAGAAAATGTACATAAATATGTTGTAATATTCTGTAAACTTCGTGATTGTCATATTTGTTTCGAGGTATTGAAATTGTAAAATGAATTTTCCTGTAAATTTTGAAAAATAGAATAAATTTTGCAACCCATTTTTTAATGATTGACAACGAAAATATTAGATTTAAATATATATTTACTTAAATAGATTCTGTTCTTAATTTCCTAAAGGTAATAATTTGTTTCAGGCATCTGGTGGAAGCATAACAACCTCCCTTAGGCAATTTAGAAGAAAAATTGAAGAAAAACACCCTCATAGTGATAGCAACAATTCGTCAACGGCACCAACCGAAAGTCATGTAGCAAGAGTGGCGCCCCATAGTCATTATCCTCCTAGATCCACTGCCGAAAATTACCGATTTCCACATCAATATCAAGATTATGGGTAAGTTAATTTCCAGTGTATGTACACTTTTAAAACGTATAAAAATATTTATTTAACGATAAAAGTAAGATGTTCTTGATTTTGGTTTTTAAGATTACTTAGTTGTTTAGAAACTGATTAAAACTCTGATCACAGTATGGATTTGTGCTTTCCAAAGCAACAGGTTTTCTATCCGTTCTTTCTTGTCTTTTTGTAAATTTTTCTAAATTAAAATGATGAATGGGTTGCACATGTGAGTCAATTTCAATTAGGCCAAAGAAATAAATATTATACTTATACACAATCAATTTATTGTACCTTGTACATGAATCTGTTCAATGTGCCTTGAGTAAGTTGTTGTTCCATCGTTTTCGTGGTCTTCCTAGTGATCGTCTTCTTATTGTGGAACCGTTTCTTGCCGTCTTTACAACTCTATTTGTTGCATTCGGCTTATATGCATTTCAATTCGTTCAATCTACTATTCTTTTCTTACCCAACCTAGATGGTCTCCACTACGCATCTTCGTCGTATATCTGCACTTCTAGCTCTGTCCCATAGTGTCTTTCCATAATCTAATTGTTTTCATCTTTGCTGTTTCTAACATCCTTTTTGTCCACTCTGTCAGGTCGTGTTTTTGCCGTTTATGACATTATTGGTCTGATGACTACTTTGTAAATTCTGCCTTTAAACCTGCTGCTCTATTCTTTTGATCTTCCACTTCAGTTTTGAGCTTTCCGTAGCTAGATAAAGGAAAAATTACATAAATGCTAAAATACAAATTACTACTATTAGGATACTGTTAGGTAAACAATAAACTGGTTGTGAGTAAGTCTAATATTTATTACTGTGATCTAATTTTATAAATTAGTTCTCTTAGTTCTTGGTACAATGGCTTTGGTACAAATTGAGAAGGTGACTAATGACTCAAGCTAAACAGTAAAACTTAATTATATCAAGATGAAGTTTAATCTTATTTTATTAGCATTTATGACCCTATATTATTTACATGTCAATAATTATAAATTCAAAATAATTTCAACTAAATTTTTATATATATTTCGTAGATTGCAGCAACCTGTAAAATACTCCGAGATCTCTGAACCGCATCCCTCGCTGCAGGAACACATATCACCATCGGTAATACAGAAAGCGAAGAGTAAGGAATATATGGAAATGTGCAATGTTCAACAACAGCATATGAAACCGGCTTACGATCATCTAAATGGCCAGCAAAATTACCCCGAAGGAAATGTCCATCCACATTCACAATATATGCATAAGGAACCGCAGGTATGTTGAGATTGCTTAAAAAATATGGAATAGGTACGGGATGGGATAAGATTTTATTTTTTCAGCGTCATATTAGAGTTATTTTTCCAGTGCACCATTTCTTTCTAATATAATTGAAGACTACAGGGGAAAAACGCTGTAAGTCAATTTTTTAAATTTTTGGAAAACGCGATTTTTAGGTTCAAAACTTCATAATTCATTAAATAAACATGCTAAACCACTATTGTATTGAGTATTTGACAACTTATATACAGAGTATGATATTATAAAATTGAATTTGTCATGTACAGTAGGTAACGAGAGAAATTAAAAAAAAAACAACCAAAGGTCTGGAGGAAAAAGGCAAAAACGCTGTAATTGACAAAAAATTAAATTAATATGAATTCAACGAAAGAAAAAAATAAGCAGAACTAGACTTGTCTAACTTAACTAAAGCTAAAAACATTAATATTATCTGTTAAATGAATCAATAACATTGTAAAATTCTTAAGATAAAAAATAAGTCATGTTTTTTTTAGCTGATCAAAGTACATTCTTCCTTTTTCTGAACAAAATTTTTTTAAAACCTGGAGATCTTTATATTTTGCCATTGGAATGGGCAGTGACTCAGTATAGGATCGAGAAGGAAAAACGAATTCTTTTCCAGTATACGGTGGTTCCCTACCAGTCACTTTTTTGTTAATGACAGCCGAAACCATTGTTCCATTGTAGGTATCTCTGAAATAAATTAGTCTGGGATGTTGCTTTGAAATGCTTAATTCTCTTATTGGTCTAGTTTTAAAAGGTGCTTTTGTAACATACATATCTGCAAGAAAAGTGTCCCAGCTACGCACCAAGTAGTTATCAACCACTTCTACTTTATAAGGCACAGGTTTTTGACGAGTCAATCGTAACACTGCTTCCCAATCTTCTGGGGTTTCTGCTGCACTTTTTTGATTAACGATACCAAAATCTTTATCCGTCTCCATGTAAAGAGTGACCTCTTATAGGAAAGGTCACGGAAATAGAGTCAAATCTGTTTATTTTATGGACTAAATAATGTAGAAACCGGAATACCATCCAATTTTTATTTTGGCCTCCACACGAATCACGGAAAATCACTAAGTTACGAACTTCAGGAGGAAGCTGGATTGTCACATAGTCATACAGAAATGAGCAAACTTCATTGGCACCCTTTCGAGCTACTGTCTCAGGGTACGAGTACATAACAACATCATTATCACTAAGTCGATGGACATTAAAGGAGTAGAAAGACAACTGCCTTTTATAATACACGTTGTTACTCGTATTATTAAGCATTGGAAGGTTTTTATTATAGTCCATGGCTATGACTTCATATTCTCTTGAGATCCTTGCTCGTAGTTTAGCTTTTGTTTTTCGTTTGTAAAATGTCTGTGCTTTCAGCAAGTGAAGTTTCTGCCGTGTTTTAAGTTTATTAATTAATTTTTCATCTTTACATTCCCTTATTTTTATTTTGGAAGCATCACAAATGCTGCAAGTGTAGGTTCTGGGATACCCAAAGGAGATATTTAAGCGTGTGTTGAATGTTTTTCTATATATTTCATAGCACACTGCTCTATTGAGATGTTTCTCAAGGAACATTTTGTACATCTTTTTAATGTTAAGTTCGTCTGGAAGGTACTTCCGGCTAGATTGTTTTAGGCTGTAGTGACTCATGCGTCCTTTGAATGATTTTATGTGATTTAAAAGTAACTGCATAGTTTCTTCAGACAATTTATTGGGTCTTGAGCCATGTTTACCTCTATTTTCCTTGGCGGTTGTACCATGTTTTAGGGCTTTTTGTACAGTTTGTAATCTTCTCGTGGATATGCCACGAAGAGCAATAAAAGCTTTTTGACAAACCTGAACGTCTTTTGCAGATGATGTATGCCCCTCATCATTAGTTACCGCAAGGCGAATTCTGTAATAAAAAGAGCCATCTCTTACGTTGCAATTCTCTTCATCGTTTCTTAGCCTTCTTTGAGTTACAGGAAGTATAGATATTAGACCACTCAAATACATACTTTGCTCGTCCCAATTCAGCATAGAATTAAAATTACGAATAATTGTATTTCTTTGTTCAACCGTTATATTTTCAAAACACTGATGACGTTTGCAATAGCAGTCCTTGCCTGTTTCGTGAGTTAGCACTTTTAGCGCTTTAGCTACATCACGTATTCGCCCAAAACTTTTTCGTTTTCTTGTAGTTTTTGACTGTAAAGCCTCTTCAATTTCGCTGCCCTCACTTTCCATATTAATAAACAATAGTTCAAACTTACCAAAAGTTAAAAAACAAACTGTGATTATGGTAATATTGATACTTAAATAAACAACTTGTATGAATGCTGAACACTGACTTTGATTTTCCGTTGTAAATTGTCCCTACGGACAGGCGCATTGAGCACCTAAATCTGACTTATAGCATTGTTGCCTAGTTTAACCTTGACTTGCAGCACTCTTCCATTGTACAGCATTATTTTATTCGTTTTGATAACGTTTGACTTATTGCACTTTTATTTTGTTTGATATTTGTGGATTGTACTACGTGTATCCAAGTATCGAAAAATGTATTCCTCAAGAAATCGATCAAAATTGACTTACAGCGTTTTCCCCCTATAGTCTTCAATTGATAGATCGTGTAGATAGATAGTAATAGATAACAAGTGCACATGTAAATCTATTTATTTTTTGAGTAATCAATCTCCATGCTGCATGGTAGTATAATTTATTATTTAGTTTTAATGTTGTGACAGTTGTCAGTAGTCAAACAACTGTTTTGTCATTTTAATGTCAAATATAATGCGAAAAAAACCTAAATCTGCAAAAAGGTATTTTACTACAATTTTATTCGCATAAAACTTGACATTAAAATGACGAAACAATTATTTGACTACTGACAACTGTCACAACAATAATAACACTGTTACAACATTAAAACTTAACACTAAAATATACTAAAACATCAATGTAATCAGCTATTTCGTTTTAAGTCATTAAAACCTGTCTCGCGAAATTTCCAAATGACAAATCTCTTTCTGTATATGACTAAGCAGAATTTTGAGATATTTAACCTCAATTTATTTTAATTGCTACATCAGACATTTGATCTTTTGAGTAATTGATCCGAATACATAAAGCAGTTTATTTTTAAGGTTCATCCAGCGTACAAACCAGAATCTCAATACTTCCCAAAGGATCCACAATACTCTCCACAGATGCCGCATCAGATTCCAAAGTACAACATGCCGACTCAAGTTCGGAAGTATCCGGCCGAAAACGACTTTCTGTCAAAATTACGACGCATCCATCCCACCATGGCCCGATCCATTATGAGCGACCATCATTTACAAGAATCACAAAATTCTTATCAAACCATGGAGCAAAACAGAATGTATCCACATCATCAAAGCCAAAGGTATGACTTTATTTAAAGATTTATATATAATTTCGCTACATTTGCTCTTTTTTTAAGGTATATGAATTATCCTAACATGCAAAATAGTGCCTACTCTCACGGATATATGCCCTATTCGAACTACCCGCCTAGTTGCAGTTATAATAGACCATCGCAAATAGCTCCTAGATTTCCGGTCAATCCCCACGAAAGGAGCATTTCTCCTAGACGAGGATACCCCGAGAATATGGGACTTCCGATGAATTACGGGGGACTACCGGCCCAGAAGATGCCTCCAAACTACTCGCAATATAACGCTCCCGAATATGCTCAACATTATCAGCATAGACGGGCGCCGGTTACACAAGAGTATTATCAACAGCATTGCAGGTAATTTTTACTCTTCTACATTTTTTTGTAATGTAAACTAGTAGGCAACACTAAATTCATAAAATTACTGATAACGGATTGTCTTCTTTTTAGTCCCACACAGTACTTGCCACCTCATCAAATGCCGCCCCAGGAAATCCCAGAAAACAGAGTGACTGTCTCAGACAGCATAAAACATTATATCGAAAACTGGGCGGATGAAGATACTGCGTCAGAAATGAACCAAATGGAAAGTTCAAGGATTTGTAAAGATGGTATCAGAGGACGTGACGATCAGTCTACTGAAACCGTTTATATGATCTCATCTTCGGAGTTGGAATATATAGAAAACGGACTAATAACTTCCGAAAGTGGAATTCCTGTACCTGTGGTAAGTATAAGGGTATCTTATTCTTCCTCATTTAAAAATATTTAAAGTTTGTCTTTTAAAATCAGCAAGCAAAAGAATTCCTTCTAGTTGGCTGCTATTTCAACTGATTTTTTTTAACGTCATTTTTTTTATTGTTTTAGGTGACTTCTGAAACCGGCCAGTACATAATTAAGTCGGGGGTCTCGATAGATAACGGATCAGAGATGGTGAGATTAGTCGAAAAGAGCAGCCAACTTGAAATCGATCCTGCGACGGGCGAACGAGTGGTCAATCTACATATAATGGATCCCGCCAAACCCGACTGTATGCTAGCCAATAGACCAAACGATTTGAACCAGAGACAACCAGCAGATGCTTCCTTTGCTATACCAGAAAAACCTCGAGTTGTAGTCCATCAAAATACGGTAATACAGTCTGGTGTGCAAAACACCCATGTAAAGAAGGATCCGGTATCGCCTGTGACTGATGCGAGTAAACTAGGTTCTAGTTTACCGATAATTACTACGGACACGTTTGAGGAAGAACTAAGTCGAACGGTTATTAGTGAAAATCGGAAGGAAACTGCCGATAAAAATTGCTCACCGATTAATTTAGACCAATTAGAACAGTACAAAGAACAAGAGGAAGAAATTACTTCTCTTAAAACGACCACCGACAGTTTAGTAGAGGAATTAGCTAGTATCCAAGAAATGCCTGTCTCGCCCAGAACTATACCTTTTGAAGATGCTCATTTACATTCTAAGACTGAAGATAAGAAAGATCATACTGATAATCTAGTTGAAGATCCTCATAAAGACATTGAAAATTTATTACACGATACTGTCGATGATACAGGTGCAATAGTCAGTCAGGAAGAAAGTAGTACTCCGAAAACTGACATTACAGAAAGTGATACCGAGACAACAGCTAACATATCAACGGAAGAAAATTTATCAACAGAAGAAACTTTTAATAATGAGACTGATCAACAATCAATTATTAGCGATAACGTTGAGAGAGAAATAACCCCACCGCTTGCTCCTATAAACGAAGTTGCGCATTCAGAAATTTCTAACAGTGATGAGAGTGTTTTGGAAGCCAACAATGATGTAGATCCTGGCACTTTTGCACGAAAAGCTGACGATGAGAAAAATGTTAATACTTTGGAAATCGCAGAAAAGGAAAAAAGCACTATGTCCGTTATTATAAAACGGAAGGAACATGAGACTACGGAGAATCCGCTGCAAACAAAATGTCTAAAGCCAACAACGAAGCGTTCTAGACGAATTTTTTCCGTAGACGATATAATAAACAACATTGGAAAAAAATTAAAACAAAACGAAACTGACAGCTTAACGAGAAGATACAGTCTTAAAACCACAAAAGAATTTTTGGAAATGGAAACGAAAAACACTTTTAAAATCAATCAGCCAGATATAGTTAATAGGGAGAAAACTGAATTTATCATAGAAAACTTGATAGCCTCCAAAACTAATAATACGTCAGCGGTTAGAATAATGTCAGAGCTCAATGAAAGTACAAGCTGTTCAGATAATAAACGTTTAGAACCAACATCTGAGGATCCTGCAAATATTGAACCTGATGAAACTCCCGCAAATTGTACAATTATTGAAAACATTAAATGTCATTCTCCAAGTCAAGCCACATCAGGCTCAAACGTTGAATCCTTGTCAAATTCTATAACTGAAAAGACTGAAATCACAAGTGAAAGTTTACCCGACTCAAAAACGGAGGTGGTTGAAGATCACATGCAAGAAATATCAGAAAATAAATTAGAGTTTACAATTGATGACCAATCTCAATCAAAAAACGATCAAAAATCGTCTATTACAATTGATGACCAATCTCAATCACAAAACGATCAAAAATCGTCTACCTCAAATGTAAACGACTATGATGACTCTATTACCAAAACTGAAGATCAATCTTGCAGCACGCAAGTTTTAAAAACTGAAGACTCATGTAATACTGAAGTTATGGACCAAGTTGACACTAACAATGGGCCCCTTTTGGAGGAAAATCAAACTAAAACTAAAATTGAAGATACTGAACAAGCTCCAAACAACATATTAACGAGTTTCGGTGAAAATATTGTGTCAGAAGCAAAACTAGATCAAGTCGAGGTGCAAGATACTGTTGAACCTCATAATTCCACCGATCACACTTCAGTTTCTATTATAAACAGTCAAGAAAATAACAGTTTATCAGACTACATACCAAAAGACGATACTGTGAATCTATTGCCGGATATTTCAGAAATTAATTCAAACGAAACATCGGTTAAATCACCGGAAACAGTTATTCAAAATGTAGAACCGGCGGTTTCGAAGGACCAACTTTATTCTCCAAATGATTCTGAAAAACAAGTAGAAGATTTGGCTGAAGATGCTGAGGTCGTCGATAGTCGAAACACCAGTAGCTTGCAAGAAGATGATTGTATAACTGAATTGAATGCGTCATCGATTGTACCCGAAAACGTATTTGATTCAAATGATATTGTTTCACAAGAACCAATAATTGCAGTTGAGGAAGTGATATGCGATTCCAAAGATAACGAGTCACAAGCGTCTATCCCTTCAAACGCGGAAGAGATTTTGGGTTTGTCCGAAGACTTTTCCAATTCTGTCGAAAATACTAAAACGAGTTTTAACGAAGACGTACCAGAAGCAACTTGTGATCTCAAAGCTACTACAGAAGATAGAAATTTGGTAGAAGTACCACAGTCTGTAGACCACAAAGTACCTGATCAACCAGAAGTGCAATACAGAAACGTGATTCGAGTAGAAGAATCTAGCGTTTTACTTGAAATAGCTGGAGAATTGGTAGAAATAAATGTTAATAATATTAACGGTAAAAATATAATAACGGTGGTGCCGATATCAGACACTGCTGTCGTGGATTTTAATGATAACTACGAAAATTTTGATAACGTTGATGCTACAGATCCGTTAAAATTGGATGAGCTTCCTGCAGATCCGGCTATCGAGAACGAAACGAAGGAGCTAGAACCGGAAGTTCAAGAAACTACCAGTGAAATTATAATCGGAATGGATTTGAGTCTAGAAGAAGAAATCCAACTCGACGTGGACCAGCCTCCAGTACTCTGTACGAAAGCCGCTAAAAAGGCTTATGACTGCGACTTACAGATTCCCTCAATTACTACCAGTGAAGATATATTAGACAAAAATAGATCGGCTAGATATAACGAAAATGATAAAGTGAGCTCGAGTAAAGAAAAAACGAAGAAATCTAAAAGGTCAAAACCTGATTCGTCCAAACAAACAAAACAGTCGAAAAGACCTAGTAGTAAAAGTGATAAACAATCGATATTTAGGGATCTCATAGCAGCAAGAAACCGAAAAAAACTTAAAGTTGAGAATATTGATCCAGACGAAGATGAATTTGTGCCGTTTAAAGAACTTGTCAAAGCACGAAAATTACGAAAGAGTAAACAGAAAGAACGAAAAAATACTGAAGACTCCAATGTTGATTCGACTAATAAAATTGAAGAAATTAACAAAGAGAATGAACAATCTGAAGAACTGGAAGAAAAAATTGCAGTCACTAACAGTGAAATCGAAAACGCTGAAACAACTACAACCGCAGAAAGTGAAAATTGTACAAATCTAGTAGAAAAATCAACTCCAACTGAAGAAACCAAAGAAGAGAAGAAACCTGCTTCGATTGAACCTAAACTTGTCAAACGAGTATCTTTTAGTGATATACATGAGGAAATTAAACAAATAGAACCCAAAATTGACAGTCAACACGAAGAGCCTAAAGATGTATCACTATTGCAAGCTAAAGAAGACTTAAAACTAAACCGACCAAATGGGTGCGTTTCGAAATCATCGCATGGCAAGAAAAAATTGAGTCTCGAGGAATACATTCGTCGAAAACGAAAATTGCATAGCGATACCAAAGGAGAATGTTCAGAAATAAAAAAGCAAAAAATCGACAGACAGCTGTCAGCTATTGAGTTAGCTAAACCCAACCCGGAAAAAATTAAACTCAACCGAGCTAAATCTTTGGACGATATAAACATGCTCAAGTCCAAAGATTGCCAAAAAAAGAAGCTCTATCATGAATACTCTCCTGTCAAGCAAAACTATTTCGATTGGGAAGAAACTCAATCGCCGAAAGTTAACTTGAACCGCAAAGATCAAGATAAGAAGCTTTGCGAATTCAAAGGTCTCATATTGGATAATAATAAGCCAAAAGTAGTCATAGACATAAACGATCTCAGCTCAAGACCGAGTACTGAAAGTTCCGAGGACGAAATCCTTCAAAATTATAAAGAACAAGTCGAATCAAAATTGAATACCTTAAATATTCAAATCCCCCGAACAGTCAAACCTATAGAGAGACAAGTGATAGAAACGTTTTCCAAATCCGAGATGAACACTTTGATTGAAAGGTTTCTGAAGAATGAGAAGTTAAGCAGTGAAGAAATGGAAAAAATTCGTAAAATTATTTCGTACAAAAGGTTAATGCAACAGTTAAAGAAGATTAGGACGCACGATCTCCCGCGAACTACATCGGCCAACCAGCCCTATAAAGTTCGTAAGGAGATCAGCGATAAGCAGACGAAAATGTTATTAAAAAAGGTAAAAGCTCATTAATTATACTAATTTTACTATTAGATGAGAGTCGTCTTTTTTTAAGAGTACTATTAACAAATAATGTAATTAACACGTTCAGCCCCGGGTGGCATCAATATGATGCCTCATTCAATAGTACTCTTGGGACAGCGAGGCATCACTCTAATGCCACATTACAGTTTTGTATTCGGGACACCGTGGCATCAACTGTGCCTCCACATCTATGTAAATTACATTGTAAGTTGGACAGGGTGCATTGGTTGCACAAAAATTTAGAACGAGAACACTTGTTTTGAGCTTCCTTCCGCCCCAATTCATTTTTCATTCTGACGTAGCAAACCACACATCTGTTTTTTCTTCCTTCTACAAGCTTATGACTGACATCGGTGTTATCGTTGACATTAGTTTCAATAGCGGACATTTCACGCAGTAGTTCTATAGCGATTTCTGTTTTAAACTCTGTTATAGTCAATTTAGTTTGTGTAACCTGTGTATATACAATATGAGCATTCACCAAGGTACTACCAAACAATAATTCTGTGGCTAATTTCCTGTACCATTTATTCTCTCGTTTCAAGCAATGTTAATACGCTTTTTTCTGATCTGAGAGATCAATAAAGGATTTTGAATCATTGTAATCAACAATCATTTTGGGCTTTTCAATGTATTTGCCTTTGTGTAGACGTTTCAACATTTCATCCCCATGCTTTCTCCGAAATTACTTTCTAGGGCTATTTTTTCATTTTGTTTTAATTTTTTCTTGACAATTTATTTTTCTGTTTGACCGCTTAAAAAAATACAAAACACTGAGTATAATCTTTATGCTCTTTTGACCATCTCAGTCTATTTTGCTTTTGTTGTAATTGTGATGACACGTGGTCGGGTTTATAGGATAGGTTAGCCTGGAGAGTGGGGGTTAGGATATAATTAAACACCTTCTATCTATCATGTCTAGATTCAGAATGGTTTTATTTCCTATTCCTTGTACCTGTCCGTCACGTCACTCTTACAATGTTACCAACCTGAATAAGTTCCGAATATTTACTTATTTACATACATCACAGTAATGTTGCTTTTCCTTGGCCTAAAATAAAATGAAATTTATTAAAAACAATCCGTACTAATTTTTTCAACTATAAAACTTACTTTGTAAGTACAAACTCCTAATTTGTGTGCCTCTTGGTGTCATGTTGATCTAGAAACGTGTCTTCCAATTCATAATTCCAATCCAAAAATTCATATTTTTCTATATTTAAACAATTACCGAAATATAGTTTATTCGTCTTCCGGGTTTGGACCGTGTCATTTGTAAGTGACCCAAAGGTGGGTTCATCTCGACGTTTCGCTACAATTGTATGTAGCTTCTTCAGGAGAACAAAGAAAAAGAAAAAGAAAACAACAGACAGGAAGATGGGTAGTTAGCAACGGTAACTCAGTTACTCAACGCAACCAGAGGCGAATACTAACTACCAAGATTTGCATTTGGTCACAGTAACTCAACTACTCAACGCAGCCAGAGGTGAAAAACAAATGCCAGGACAGGGATTCACGTCCAACAGCTCAGAACACTAACGCGTCGAGAGGCGGGGAGTGAATCCGACGATTACTCCGCTACCGCTCTATTTATAGTCGCGGTGACCTGTCGTGTCGGAACGTATCGGCACACTCCGTGGCGCGAACGTCAAGAAGCGCGCGCTGGCCAATCATGTGGCTGCATCGTGGTAGCGGGACCGGAAGGCGGCTCTAGACTGAGATTCCAGATGGGAGACAAGTAGTATCCTTCCTCTGCGTTGAGTAGTTGAGTTACTGTGACCAAATGCCCATCTTGGTAGTTAGTATTCGCCTCTGGTTGCGTTGAGTAACTGAGTTACCGTTGCTAACTACCCATCTTCCTGTCTGTTGTTTTCTTTTTCTTTGTTCTTCTGAAGAAGCTACATACAATTGTAGCGAAACGTCGAGATGAACCCACTTTTGGGTCACTCACAAATGACACGGTCCAAACCCGGAAGACGAATAAACTATAATTCTGACTCTGGCCGTGGAAGCCTACGATTTCAATTACCGAAATAGCTTATGGCATTTTTCTCAAATATAGACACTTCCTCTGTACATGTTGGTGTTTTTGTCTAATAAAAATTTTTTATCTTTTGTAGGTATCAGAAAAGAAGAAAAGTCGCTTTCGAAACCTCTACACGCACTCCGATAGTGAGTCGGAGACCGATTTACGGGATAAATCGAAGTGCAGTGGGGATTACTCAGTAGTTCAATCGAACTGTTTGGCTGGAGTCGTGCCTAAACTTATTATTAAGAGAAAACCGGAAATGCCTTTGCCGTTTGTTAGGTTAGAAAGGCTAGATCTAGGTTTACTCGATGAAAAAAATAAGAAATACGCCCTTTAATCTTTTGTGTTTTTCTTTTAATAGTGATACAGGGACCAAAGTACCAAAGTAATAGTTGTTGTTTGTTTTATATGTATAGGTTTTTTTTAATGTTATAGTAGATATAATTTATTATTTGGTTTCTTTTGGATAAAGTTGTATTGAATGAACTGAAAGGTATTTTATGTTAATTCTTATATACTAAACATTTTTATGTAGGTTATGTACATATATATTAAGTACTAAATCTTTATATACACAAAAACTACCTCAAATAAGAGATATCTATAAAAAATCTAACTTATTTGTATCGTAAAATCTTGTAAAATTGCTCTTCTTTCTTCTTCGATATCTAATGACACTTCATTTCCTTCGAAATGGCTTGTATGGCGAATAAACTTACACCTGTTGCTCTTACAACACGTTTTTGCACTTGTTTTAAGTCTATTAATGGTACGCTGTCTCCTGCTTCTTGTTGCATAAAATGCATAACGTTTGCTATAATTTCTCGTCTTTGACCGGACAAAACTTTTCGATTTAATTTTGATTTAAATTCCATTAAAAGGACATGGAACTCACTATTCTTTAAGAAACCTCTGCCGCAGACTGTACCGACCAAACTTTACACGTTGAATTGTTGACTTCGACTGGTATATTTCCGATAAATTAAGTGCGCCTCAGGTGGGTGTGGCGATTATAAGATTTTCAAACTTCTTTCTATGTTTGACAAATTGTACCTATGACTTTTTTATTGAGAGAAAAAAACTGCGAAATCACAATGAAAATTATTGAAAATGCTTTATCTATATTATTAAAATATTATATTATACAAATATATACAATATATTTAATAAATACATATTATCTATATAAATTTCAATGGGGAGCGGTAAAACAATCTGTAATTGTTTTCTGGATGCCAGTCTCAACGTGCTGATCAAAGGCTCTGTTTTTTATACGCCTCAGCATCTGCTACCTGCCGTTGAGGTTGTCTTCTGTCTAACTGATGGCCGTATTCAGGGCTTTCACAGCTTCAGCAGCAGAAGTTTTGAAGCAGGTTTGTGAAATGGATGACCAAAAATTTGCCAAGTTAAAAACGACGTTCTTTAGATTAACTTTCTTCAAAGCCACTACCAGATCCGTTCCACTTTGCTCGTCTGCAAGAATGTTGGAGAGTAAAGCTTTTCGATAGCGCAGTTTTGTGTTCTGGATGACATTCTGTTCCATTGGTTGACTCATAGCTATCGTCTTGGGTGGTAAGAACATGGCAAATATTTTACCATCTTCAATACGAAGTTCATCAGCGGTGGATGACCAGGGCAGTTGTTCAGCAGCAATACTGTCTGCCGAGGAAGGTTCACACGTGCGAGATGACGACGAACATCAGGATGAATTCAGTTTTGAAGCAATTCAAGAACAAATGTCTTGTCGCCCATGCACTTTTTTTTGGGCGATTCTTTTATAATTTTTCTACCAGAGGCGTTCTTTTCTTGACACCAATGTGTGGTCAGGTAACTAGAACACTAACCTTGGATATCTTCTTGAGTCAATTCATTTGCTTTACATAGTATAGTGGAAGCAAAGGAATTTTTGGTGTTTTACTCTTACTATTACGCAACGTAGAGTTTGGTTTTCTTCCAAATTATCTTTATTTTCTTTTTTACGTCGCCCCTTTGAAGAAAGTAAAACAGTTTATAATTTTCACTCATTATTAAAAATATTTAAGGCACAATAACTACTCGCAAATGTCACAACGGTCACAACAGTTCCTCTTAAGAGAGAGGATATAATTTACTGTAAATTCAAGCGCAGTTGCAATCATAGCGCATGCCCAGAGGACTTAAGTTCATTTTAGAAACAAACTTGAAAGTATGCATTAATTTTGACTAGAACTTGACCATATTTTGTAAAATATGAATGATTATATAGTTAAAGGCCATTCTTGGCTAAACGATGCAGTTACAATCACAATTTTCGATTTTTTGGACTTGGTGAGTTTTGGAATAACGCTCCTCGCATGTAGGTGAGCAAGGAAAGTAAAAACCGATTTGCATCATGTCGGTTTAATCGTGGAGGCGCAGGGGGGAGTCGCGCGAGCGAGTATTTTAGAGATTTCTTTCTTATTGTGCTTCTAAGAATATCGTTTTTCCGTAGATATTACACTACCTTGTGAAGTATATATTCTTCTTAAAACAATCTTGTATCAATTTATCAACTCCATTTGAAATAGATTTTTGAAAGATATCTCAATTTATTTAATGAAGAAAAGTTAATTGTACAATTTTAACAAACAATATCTTTCAGTTCTGTTCTGTAACAATGGCATTTATTAATGTTTGGTGCAGATAATACTATTATGTTTAATTTTTTTTGTACAAATTGTTTAAATGTTCCTATGATATTAAAAACTAAGTAAATAGACACATAAGATTTAAGTTAATTACCGGAGAATTGTGTAAATGGGGATATTTTATTTTTGAGTTTATAATGGCCAGTTGGTATGACAGAATTGGTATTTTTTTATGTAATTTGCTTTACTTGTTTTGTGGAAGTTTACTGGTTACTTTGGATTTTTCGGCTGTGTTGAATGCTACCTTTATATCCATAAATGTGACATAATTTCTTTTTATTTTAAGTTTCTTACCTTTTTGTTTTTATTTAGTGCTTTGGTTACGATTTTTCTTACTTCTACAATCATATTTATAGTTAGTTTCCTGCTCAGATTACTTCAACATCCACGTACAGAACTTTTATAGTATTTCGTACTATTGAACTATCTTTTCCGGCTTTGATATGTTTGTTCTGTTATTATTCGTACAGTTGGTACAGTATAAATCCCGATGCACGTCATTATCTCCGTCAGAGATCTAAGACATTGTTGCCAAATTACAAAAAAAATCCTGAATTCATTTTAAATCAAATATGTCCCATAATTGTTGGAGAAGTGGATTATACCATAAGTTTTACATTAAATTAATATTTAATGCAAATAAATGCAAAAAATAGAAATCGAACTCAAAAATTGGGTAATAATCTTAGGTTAAAAACAATTTGAGCTGCTTGTGTAGTATAAAGCAGTAAAATAGAAAAAAAACAAACCTTTCTTCATTAGGTACTTATTTACTTTAAATGTATTGTTACAACTCCATCATCTTGGTGCTACAGCCCTTAAAGGACCTCGACCTTCTCAAGCTTTCTACGCCATTCTGTTCTGTCCCTTGCTTGCATTTTCCAGTTGCCGACTCCGATCTTCTCGGCATCTTATGTTACATCTTCTCATTCCCACGTGTTACCACGTTACCACGTGTTAGAATCTTTTTTATCATGTTCGATTCAGGGGCCCGGGCTACATGTCCTGTCCATTGCAGGCGGTTTCGTTTAATTATAGTGGTAATATCTTTACCACCAAACTTATGCTTGTAGATATTCTGCAGTTCAAAGTTATATCTACGCCTCCATTATCCGTTCTCACAGACCGCTCCGAATATCTTGCGTAACACCTTTCTTTCAAAAATCAATAGAGCGGATTCATCTGTTTTAGTTAGCGTACATGCCTACGATCTATATGTGAGAACGAGGACTATGTGTTCTATACAGCCTTACACGAGTTTTTTGAGACAGACGTTTGTTAGCTAAGCACTATGATAACACCTGTTTGCAATTATTATTCGTCTTTTGATTTCTTCAGATGTTTTATTATTGGGGTTAACCGATGTCCCTAGATATATGAACTCTTTGACTGCTTCAAAGTTTTGGTCATTGATGATTAAATCTGCGTCAACATTTCCAGCTATTGTGTTTGTGTTCGTCGCCATGAATTTGGTATTATTTTGATTTATATGTAACCCTATTCGTTCTACTGCTGCTACTAGCTCTGTTAGGATTTCCGCAGTTCTCGGCCTGGTTTTGGTTATAATGTCCATGTCGTCTGCATATGCTAGAATTTGGACTAATCTATTAAATATTGTTCCCCTGCTATTTAAATTAGCGTCTCGTACAACTTTTTCTAAGGCGACATTAAAAAGCTGACACGCCAGTGCATCTCCCTGCTTTAACCCCTATGTATTTTAAATGGGGTTGACGAGTCGTTTTGAATTTTTACTGCTGATAGCATCTTCGCCATTGTCACTTTTATCAAACATATAAGTTTTTTCTTTTGGATTCCTTACTCATTCGTAGCGTTGTAAAGACTTGGTCTTAAGACACTGTCATATGCCGCTTTAAAATCGACAAAAATATGATACATATCTATGTTAAACTCTTGCGCTTTTTCGAGGATCTGTCGTAGTGTAAAGATCTGGTTCTCTCGTGCAAAATGTTTGACAATATCTTATATTCTGTATTTAGGAGAGTTATTTCGCGGTAATTATTGCATTCCAGTTGATTACCCTTTTTGTGTAACGGGCAAATTAAGCCTAAGCTGCATTGGTGACTCCACCCTGCTTAAATATCTCTGCTGGGATGCCATCGCTGCCTGGGGATTTGTTTTTCCTTAGATTCCTAAGATTTCTATTAATGTTAACTTGAAGAAATACACAATAATATGTTTCATTTAATTTGTATAAATGCATTATAAAGCGTTTTTATGAAGAACATTTGTTCGGAACACACTGTAACTATAATCGAACGAAGGTGAAATTTTGGCATTCATTGGTAACACTTATTTGACAGTTGCGGTGTTGACACTTTTAGTACTTTATTAATTTGAATTTTAAAGTGAATACCTCTTGTTTTATATTTAATAAAATCTGTTCTTTTTAGAACAAAATTAGTGTGTTTTATTTAAAAAAATGTCACATAAAATTTAAATAGTCGTTGTAAAGGGATGGCAATACTTTTGCAATAATTATGTGACCTATTTGATTTAAAATGGATTCAGGATTTTTTTATACTTTGGCAACTATGTCAACTTCAATCTCTGACGTAGATAATGACGTGCAACGATATCTAAATTAGATGAAGTATATATGCCTACTGACTGTAATTCCAGTGTAGTTGGCTAAAAGTATCTAAGAAGGAAC